GCTGAGGCAGGAGGATCCCTATGAGTTTAAGGGCAGCCTGCAATACATAGCAAGACACTGTCTAAAAAAAAAAAAAAAAAAAGGACTCTAAGAGAAAATATTAGCCTTCTAAAAAATATTGTGATAGTTAATTTTTGAAAAGCCTGCTTTAAGTTTCTTATCCAATTTTATTTTATTTTTTAATTTTTTTGGTTTTTCTCTGGTACCAGGAATCAAACTCATGACCTTGCGCTTGCCAGGCAGGTGCTGTGCTGCTGAGCTAAATCCCCAGCACCTCTTATCCAATTTTAATCATATATTTTAATTTAAACAAAATCACCTGTAATTTCACCAAATTAACATATTAACTGTTTTCATTTCTTCATTTTTTTTTTCCTTTCAAACCTAATTTATGTGCACGCAGCCTTATACCAGAGCCACAGTGCAGAATGAATTAATAGTCCTTCTTTTGAGACAGGGTTTCACTATGTAGTTCAGGCTGACCTTGAACTCACTGTGTAGCCCAGGCTGGCCTCAAACTCACAGTGATCCTCCTGCCTCAGTCTCCCAAGCGCTGGGATTATAGGTGTGTGCCACCACGCCCGGCCCTCCATTAGTGTTCTTTAATTTACTCAATATACCAACTTTCTCTTGCCATTCGGGAAACACTGGCTACATCATGAATGGCCACTTCCGTGCCCAGCTTTCTGAGATACTCAAACCTGAACCTATTCATCTATATCCATCCAAGTTACGTTTTCCGTGGTTACGCTTTCATTCTAGTCTTTCTTTTTTTAAGTCAGCCTTTTGTTGCATCCATCTAAATTTTATTTCTTCAGAAGTAACTTTTAATTACCTAATTCAGCTATTTAATTACCTAATTCAACAATCAGTTATTCTCTGTTAAACAGATTCTTATATAATGTATGTGCTGCCGAAGTGAGCACGAGGTTCTTATATAAAATTCTAGATTTTTACTGGATTATAAACTGGGAGCTATTGTCTGTTTCTTATGTGATATGTCAGTCTTTCTGATCAGGCTGTAAAATAGGGGTAGAGCCTGTATCTTTTATGTGCTTAGAACATGAAGTTCAATAACCAAAACTTAATGGTTCAAATACAGGATGTCAAAGACACAGCTGCCAAATACAATCATTTGAAAGGGTAAACAAGAAACTTTAGTTCTAAGAATTGTCTTCTTATGGTGCTGGGATCACACCCAGGGCCTCACATATGCTAGGCAAGTACTCTGCTGTGCAGCTACATCTGCAGCCCACCGACGAATTTTCACAGAGGGCCTTTTTTACTGGGTGGAAAACTTCATGGTGCACACATGGGAAGCAAAGGCTCCACCACGGAGCCACATCCCAAGCCCTCCAGAGGGCCCTTAAATCAGCGAGCTACCCATCTACCATAAAGGCAGCCCTTCTAAAATTTAATAGGTTAAAAAAAAGACTTCATCCTAGAAGGCCATTTTAACTTTAATCACCCAATGCCTCAGATTTTGTAGTTTACCTTTACATTCTTTTAATGGATACTGCTCTTCTTTTGTTACACTTGATCTAGTCTTACACGTCATCTTAGATCTGTGGCTATTTGTATACATATGTATCTTACAGCTGCATCATATTCCATTTTTCAAGAACAGCCCTTAATTTATTTAAAAAATAGGCATGAAATGCTGATTATGGGTCAGGCACTATTCCAAGCACTATATATATACTAACTCACCTAGATTTCAGAACAACCTTATGAGGTAGGTACTATTACAATATGATTTACAGGCATCAGCAAACAGGCAGACAGATTAAGTGGCCTAAAGTTACAAAACTACTAAGTAGCAGAGGAGAGGTTCCAAAGGAGGCATCTTCATAGCAATCTAGTTCCTCATTCTGCATTCATTAACTGAAGTACCTATAGCCAAGTACATGACCTCCCAAAACGAATGGTTCCCTATATAAAAGGCTTGAGATGCTGTTTTTCTCCCAGGTTTTAAGTGGCTGCATCCTTCCTATCTTTTAGGTCTCAGCTTAATATTACTTCCTCAGAAGGGCTCTTCCTTACCACTTACAGTAACTTCTCATTTAATTCGTATCACATTATCCCATTTAATTTTCTCCACAGAACTTACGAATACTTGGTATTTTCTTATTACCATTATGAAAATAAGGTTCTTTTCTGTTTTGTTTGATATTGTGTCCAGGAGCCTAGAAAAACGCCAGGCACAGAATAAATAAATGCTTCATAAATAACTTTTGAATAAATGAGTTTATCTTAACAACCTTCATTGACGGACACTTGAGGTTGTTTGTAATCTTTCACTACTCCTCAATTTTGAGCATGGCTTTATCACTTTCTTATCAGTTACTAGAGGCAAATTTCTAGGTAAAAGGATATGCATGTTTTAAGGCTTCTGTTACATATTGTCAAGTGGTTCTTCATCAGCAAAATTTGCCTGTTTCAGTTTTTATTTCTTTGGTTATTAAAAAGCTTGCCAAGAATGTTCTCATATGTTCAATGGTCATTTGAATTTAGGTCCTTTGCTTCTTTGTGTCTGGATGTTCATCTTTTTCACAATGACTTATGGAACATTTTATATGCTAGCCTCCTGAGGAGAAAACACACTATTTCAATAAAGGTCACGCTTTTCACCTCTCATTCTGGTGTTCAACTTATTTAGACAGAGAGAATCACTAATATGTAGGCCTCTCAAGCGTGGCTAAACATAGGTAAAACTTGACAGGAGCTAACAATCTGAGTTGGGTTTTTTGTTTTGTTCCATTCACTTTATTGTGAGAAAGTTCATGTGACTGAAAAATAGTTCTACAGTAAAACTCCCTTCTAAGTGGGGAGTAACAACTTCAACTGTATACATACGGTAACTGAGTTGAAGTTAATGGATATAAAAGAAGGGCTGGAAAAGAGCTAATAACCAGTCATACTATATCGGAATTCACGTAATTGTGTGGCATGTGATTGTGGGGTTTTCAATACTCTTTAAAAAAGGTTAAAGCACAAGTTCTTCAGGTTATTGTTAATTGATTTCCTACAGCATTCATGAAACACCAAGCCTGCTGACTACTAAAAGAAAGGGCTAAGCTGGGAGTCTATTTTCCTCTCCCAGAAGCGGATCATCATGAGATGGGGTTGGGGAACACAGCTATGATTTCTGCTGTCCCAAACCAACTCAACCATCAGACAATTGCAAGGAAGCTACATGGTTGGAGAGAAGAAACAAATGAGAAAGATGCAACCTCTTCCAGAAAATAAAACATCTTTTAAGATAAAACAACTCATCCCTGGACTAATAAATTTAAGTGGTGGAAAACATCAGAGTCACATGGGTTCTTGATATAGGAACCACCCCACTCTATTTTCTTGGGGGTTTTACATGCTTTGGGGCCTTTCTCCCTTCTTCTACAGTTGGGTAAGGGCAGGGAAGGAAGGAGAATTAGCTCGGTTTCTAACAGTACCTTTATGGTGGCGCTACTGGGAAGTTCTTTTGTCAGAGATATGCAGACCAACGTCTATATCAATTTTGCCTTACTACTGAATAAATACTTTTCCTTCTCCTTAAAAGGTGGTTTCTTAGATAAATGTACATTAAAAAAAAAAACCCACAATATCTTCTCTGTCCTCACCCAGTCTAACACCTACAATATCATTACAGAAATTATGTCAAACTTCACAATGAACCAAATTCCTAAACTCCTAGCATGAAAACAGGCTTCTTGAATCCTACAGCTTGAATCTGGCTTGCTGAAACAAAGCCAAATTTCTAGCTGTAAAACAGAAGCAGCAGGTTATAAGCTGACTGCGGGTAAACCCACATGGAGGTGACCGTGAAAGTCACAGGGAGTCTCTAAAGAGGCGCATCAGAGGCCTTGGGGCCTGAGAGGAGGGGCTTCATGTCCACAGCATTTGCCCCAGGAGAGTAGCTCTGCTTTTATACATTGTAGGGGTCCATGTAAGATTTCCTTAAAAAAAAAGGTTCTCCAGCCGCTTTAACAAGTGCCGAAACTCTGAATTATATCATCTGTCCGTTTAAAATCAGGAGTTCAGGCTCATAAAGATAAAATTACTTGTTTAAGGTTCAAAGTTAAGCAGGCTCTTTCTATTATGATCTATAAATTAGTGTGCCTTCTCTCAAAAAATGAACAAGGCACTGAGGAATTTAAGTTAAAACTTCTCAGTTTTAATACCTTTTCATAAAAGAAATCAAAGTGATATAAACCAAATTAGACCAACTTTTCTTAACAAACAGTAATGTGCAGGAAGGTAAATGACTTTCAAATAGAAACCAATTTAATACATTTAACACCTTTTAAAATTCAACTTTGTTTTTACCTCAACTAAAGAGAAATGACTATTGAGTCTTTCAGTCCTTCCCTCTCTTTCTTTTTGCAGTACTAGGGATTGAACCCAGGGCCCAGGGTCTCTGCACTGAGCTACATCTCCAGAGCTTTTCACTTTTTAATTTTGAGATAGGGTCTTGCTAAGTTGCCCAGGCTGGGCTCAAACTCATGACCCTCTTGCCTGTGACTTCCTGTACCACCACAGCTGGCTAACTCCAGCCTATTTTTAAATTCAGCAGAATCTAAATATCAGAACTAACTATTTCTTCGCCTTCTGATTTTAGGCTACTAACATGACAAATTTTATTTAATACGTATTACTTCTGAGATCACATTCACAGGGCCTTCAGAAAAATTTAATTCTATTTTATAGCATTACAAATTTAATACAGACAATTACAGTTTCCCATTGATCCAATCAAACCCACATTTAAATACCACACTGCTTCTCTGGTGTGAGAAACCGAAACTATAAGTAAGGACCAAAATGTCTAATAGATATTGGGAAATAAAAAGAACATGTTCATTGATATCATATTCTAGAAATGTGCCTTAGTTGAAAAAACTTAAAACAAAATGATACCCAGAGAAATTAAAGAAAAATGTTATTTTGTCTTTCATTGTTTGTCTAAATACTGAAACAAATAAATCGTGTCCAGTGCCTACCTGAGCCATCAGTGGGGACTGAACTTGCATTGATTCCAGAAAGGCCAAACAAAGGACACTCTCGATCTGTATTGACGTGACCCCATTTATGACATTTAATGCACCTCACATTTCGAACCTGAGAAATAGTGAACATTATTTTGGTTACTAAATACTGAGAATATATAACCAATGTTCAACTCCATATGTCTTGGCAGGGCTTATGTTAAATTAGTCATATTTTCAAAAGATCTTCAAGGAAAGAGATGTTATACTTAGTAACTAAATAGAAACACTAAAAGTTTTTACTATAAATTCTGCCTAAAAGCTGAGCTGGATCCTATTTCTTTCTGCCTCTTGCTTGGTGGCAATGTAACAGTGTCATCCAAAAAGAAATAGTAACATAAAAAAAATTTTTAAAAAAGAATTATTCGCTAAGTTTCGTAAGTTAATCTTTATACTTTCAAATTTCTAAGCCAGGGACTGGTAAACTTTTTCTATGGATGTCCAGATAGTAAATATTTCAGGCTTTTCAGGACGGATGCCCACGTCTGTCGCAGCTGCTCAACTCTGCTGCAGTATGAAAGCAGCCACAGACAACACATAAGTAAGTAGGCAAGGCCGTGCCGCAGTGACACCTCCTTCTCGAGGATCTAGCCCTCTACGGACAGGCTGTCCTTGTCCTAAATAGATAATAGTTTTAAATCTCTTCTCTACCCTGGGCTACTTTTCTAAATCCTTTGAAAACCAGAGGCCAATATCATCGTAACTCTCACTACAAAAGTTTGATTCTCATCCTTTATCAGTCTACTACATTTAATGTTTTTATTTCTACAATTATCTGATACAAATATAAATCATACTGTCCATTTTTATCTTAAACATCTTCTAAATAACAGTATAAAGAGTTACCAAATAAAAATTATTCTCGAACAGTTAAGTACGTATCACTTGCCTGAATACCAAAAGGCTGGTCTCTGATGTTCATATCATCTTTGGCATATCTATTAAGTAGAGAAAATGTATAGAAACAATATCAGTAATGTAATAAATTACACAGCAGTTACAGTGAAAACTATTTTATAATTCTAAGAACAATGTGAATTGTACTATTATTATAATAACTATATATAGAACTATAAAATCTATTTAATATTTCCAGTTAGTGTCTAGTCTGATAAGCTGTGATTTAAAAAAATGAAAAATTATACAAAAAGTCATTAAAAACACCTTTTCAGGATTAACTTTCTTTAATGAATGAAGGCAACAATTTAAGATGAGACTGCAGATAAATTTAATGATATGTTTTTATCTTAAAAAGCAAACCAATTCTTACTTTTCACGTGGAGCCCCCTTCTGCCATTCAAATTTGTATTCCATCTCTCCTTCTGTTTCTTCTTTCTAAAAACATTCATTGAAATTCTTTCAATTTGGTCATAAAATCACAATGAGTTGTAAATAAACACAAATAGGAAATGATGCATTACCTCTTTGTTTTCTTGATTGTATATCAAAAGTTGGGGGAGGGAAGGGTAGGACAAGTTAAAAAAAGTCTGTAATATAAAATCTACTTAATATTTCAAAAAAACATTTAGTTATTAAGTGTCTAATCTAAATATCATGTTATATAATTATAATTTGATAAAAAGAATTTAGTGGCTTGACTTTTTCTTTTTTCACAGATAAAATACAGATCAGTGAAGGATAAAACACAACCTAAATAGGATATAGTACTTAATAAGTACACTAACTCCTAATTTTTAAATTTTTATGCTTTTCATTGATAGTACGTGTTTTCTAAGTGTACTGAGTAAGAACTAAAGATACATATGCAGTAATTCGGTGAATCCCCCTATTGCTATGTTGTCCTTCTTTTACTCTTTAAAATAAAAAATTTTTTAAAAAGATATATATGCAAATTACAGAAGAATAAATACAATTCCACTGATCTTGAGCTTTTTCCTCACCAAAGACACATGATAAAATATGATACTAGATTATAAAAAGATACTAGATTATAAAAATATTTTTAGTATTTATTCTGTGTATTATACAGCATTTTTCTTATCTTTACAAGATAGCAATTTTCAAAGATGAAAATAATTTTTTTTGTTTCGAAAATCAGTTTTTAAACACTACTTCTTAGCAGTTCTCAATCTTTAATTATAAATAGCTCAAAGACTTAAAAGAAAGAGGCCAGTACCTTTTTTAGCTCCTGGTGGGGCCTCATACATGAAATTAAGGCCATTCTTTACACGTTCATCTCCCATAAGCAATCTAAATGGAACAAGACATAAAGTTAACAATGTAAGGGAATTAAGATAAAAATTGTTGCTAGGCATCAAGTTCCAGGCTGGGAGTGTAGGTCCGTGGTAAAGCATGTGCCTAGCCTGAACAAGACCCTAGGTTCAGTCTTTACATCAAAAGGAAAAAGAGAGAGACAGACAGAGGGAGATAAAGTTTCAAAACTGCTTCACTGGCTAGAGGACATTTAAAATATCTGAATGGATATCAAATATGTAGTGTTGCCTCCTGTAATTCTCCAAGTATTTTCCTTCTCACAATGTTTTAGTTCTCCCCTCTAAAAACTGGTTAAAATGACATGGGTCACTTTCACAGGATTTTAACTTTGAAATGCTATAGTGACAGCTTTAAAATCTTACACATCATAAATTTGGGATTAAGGTAAATGGTCCCAGCACCTTTTCTTGTGAAGGATTAAACAATTTTGAAAAATGAGCCTGAGATTTCTTTAGAAAGTCTTACCCAGCTTGCAAGAGTTGAAATCAGTGAGGAAGCTGGGCACAGTAGTGCATGCCTATAATCCCAGTGTTCTGGAAGGCTGAGGCAGGAGTACTGTAAGTCTGTACTTAGCATGGGCAACTTGGTGACTTAGCAAGGCCCTGTCTCAAAAATTAAAAAACAATTGGAGATGTAGTGCAGTGCAAGGGCCCTGAGTTAAATTCCCAGGATAAAACAAACCCACCAAAAAACAGAGAGAAATTATCCAGTAAGGCTAATGAAGAAAGAGTAGTTTAGCCGGGAGTGGTGGCACACGCCTGTAATCCCAGCACTCGGGAGGCTGAGGCAGGAGGATTGTTGTGAGTTCGAGACCAGCCTGGGCTACAAAGTAAGCTCAAGGCCAGCCTGAACTGCATAGTGAGACCCTGCCTCAAAAAGACCAAAAAAAAAAAAAAAAAAAAAGAAGAAAGAATAGTTTAAAGAAGTTCTACAATAGACTACTAAATATAATAGAATTAATGCCCGCTGTACCTAAAAAAAAATCTCATTTTTCTAGTTTAATTTTAATACTGAAAAAACTCCCTGTTTGAGTTCTATTTAAAGAAGAAGTAAGGCTTTTTTTAAAAAAAACTTTGCAACAAATTGAATAAATGAGATAAAGTTTAACTCAAAAAAGTTAAGCTGAGTGTGGTGACATATACCTGTCATCCCAGCTACTCATGAGGTTGAGACAAGAATGTTGAGAGTTTGAGGGCAGCTTTGGCAACTTCATGAGACCTTGTTTCAAAAAATAAAAAGGTCTGGGGTTGTAGCTCAGTGGTACAGTGGCCCTGGGTTCGGTGCCCCGTACTTAAAAAAAAGAAAAATCTATGTGTGTCTGTGTGTGTATACTAATTATAAAGAAGCTAAAGAGTAACTAGCACTTCCTCTTTTATTTGGAAAAAGCACTGTTAAAGGATAAAACCTCTCTTCTTATTTCCATTGGATTCTATAAACAGTAAAAAACAAAAGCAAAGAAAGAAGCAATAGAATATAGGTATACATATCCAATGCAACAGAAAGGAATAAAGTTCTGATCTATGTCATACCAGGGAAACATACTAAGTGAAGGAAAACAGCACAAAGGCTACCTGACGCATAGTCTAATAGTACGACATGTCCAGAACAGGCACATTTACAGACAGAAGTGAAGACTGACACAGACTCTTGGTACAAGGAGGAGAAGGTTGGGGAATGAGGGACACTGCTCCCGGGTATGAAATTTCTTTTCTAAATGATGGAAATGTTCTAAAATTAGATTATGGTGATGACTCCAAAATTCTAAACATCCTTAAAAACCAACATATACTTTAAACAAATGTGTAAATTGTCTTATATTAACACCATTTTAGAATTTATTTTATTTATTTATTTTTTTCCCGGTACTGGGAATTGAACTCATGACCTTGTGCTTGCAGGGCAAGCGCTGTGCTGCTGAGCTAAATCCCCAGCCCCCATTTTAGAATTTAAAATACATGAAAAGCTCAAAATCATTGGACATTAGGGAATTCCAAATCAAAATCACAATGCGGTAACACTTTATACTATTAGTATGCCTGCTACAGGAAAAAGGGAAAATAATGAATATTTGTGACTGTGTAATGAAACTGAAATCCTTGTGTATAAAATGTAAAATACTGCAGCCACTATGGAAAAACAGTTTGTGGTTCCTTAGAAAGCCAAATGCAGATTATCTTTTTTTTTTTTTTTGGTATCAGGAATCAAACTCACGACCTTGCGCTTGCCCGGCAGATGCTTGTGCTGCGGAGCTACATCCCTGGCCCCACACAGATTCTCATGTGCTCCTGCAATTCCACTCCTAATACATAGTCAAAGGAACTGAAAACATGGGCTTGAACAGATAACTCTGTATCAAGTAAGGCATGGAAGCACATGCCTATAATCCCAGCACTCGGAAGGTGGAGGCAGGAAAATTGTTTCAAATTCCACTGAGGCCAGGCTGAGTTATGCAGTGAGACCCTGTCTCAAAAACAAAAACTCCTTATGCATGTTTTCAGCATTATTCACAACAGCCCAAGTATGCAAATAACCCACATGTCCATAAACACATGAACATTTTAGAGTTTCATATGGTAAATGTTCTTCACTCAAAGCATAGTCTGTATAACTCAAATACCACTATTTACTTGACTGATTAATCAAGAGAAACCAGCTTCAATGGCAGCTTTGCAAACATAAAATGACAACAGCAAAAAGGCAGGTACCATACTGGGGGGAACCAAAGAAGAACTCTAGCCACGACCCAGCTTTAGGCAGAACAATGACATGCAGGACAAAAGAGATACTTCATTTTTCTTCCTCGATGTGCCCTATACTTTTTCTCCTTTGAGTGCATATTAAAGAAACCCCTTTCTAAGAGGTCTTAACAGTTCAAGTATAGATATTTCTTTTTTCTGTCAGCTTTGCCTAACTTGGGACTTGCACATGACTGTATGGTTTATTTATTTAACTTTATTTACTTTTTTTTGTTTGTTTTTGAGAGAGGCGTCTCACTGTGTTGCTCAGGCTGGTCTCGAATGCCTAAGTTCAAATGATCTTTCTGACTCAGCCTCGTGAGTAGCTGGGACTATGGGTGCAGACTACCATGTTGGACTTCTCTCAGACTACGTAAGTCACATGAAGCTATACTGAATGTGAATTATGGGTAAAGTGGCTATCTGAAGTACAAGAGTAAGTAATGATTCGAGTTAGATTATTCTCATATAACTGATTCTTTTATAAACACTGGGGCAGTGGCACATCTCACCTGTTATCATATGATTCTTGTTCTTTGAGATACTGCTGCATTAATTCTTCTTGTTTCTTCTTATCATATGATATTTTCTGTTCTGCCATCCATACCTACATTAATGAAGTAAAATATAAGTAGTTGGATTTAAATTAAGTAGAAAGTTTGCTTTTCTAATAAAAAATAAAGTGCTACTGTTTACAGTTTGATATAATCCAATTGGTTCATAGTGACATCATCACAAAATAACACCTAAAGAGTCTGATTTGTTCTTTGATATCAGACATTCAAAACAGGTAACTTTCAGATGAAAGTGCCAACCTTGAGGAAACTCTGGGTGTGTGTAACAGTGTCTTGTACTCAGTTCCTCCATTACTTCAGAGGGGGCTGGAGATGTAGCTCAGTGTACATGGATCCTTGAGGTGATACTCAATCCCCAATACCACAAAAACACACAGACCTCTATCATTTCAGAGAATAGAAAAAGCATCTCTCTACACAGAATCTGTTTCCACAGGGAACAACCCATAGGGTTAAACAATGGCTATAGGTGTTACTGTGTGTCACTAATACACTAAGAGAGAACTGGAAGAGAAGGAAGAGGAGGAGGGTAATAAACTAGTTGTGGAAAAAAGGAGACAAGAGA